ATAAGGCAAATGAGTTCCGAGACTATTGTGCTCCTACAGTGCAATCTATAAAAAACGCAAGGGTGTGTCCACATATATGTGTACATCTTAGAAAAGACCAAGTAATATTATGAAACTGTCCATCAATTTTTGATTATTTCTGAAACAAATTAAAGTCAGTTGGAATAATCTTCCTCAAATTTATTTTCGTTTTGATTTATTACTGCTCAGCAATCATTTTGGACAAATATAAATACAAAATTGTCCAACTTGGTACCTAAAAAAATGTTTATGTATGTATGTATGTATGTATGTATGTATGTATGTATGTATGTATGTATGTATGTATGTATGTATGTATGTATGTATTGTATGTATGTATGTATGTATGTATGTATGTATGTATGTATGTATGTATGTATGTATGTATGTATGTATGTATGTATGTATGTATGTATGTATGTATGTATGTATGTATGTATGTATGTATGTATGTATGTATGTATGTATGTATGTATGTATGTATGTATGTATGTATGTATGTATGTATGTATGTATGTATGTATGTATGTATGTATGTATGTATGTATGTATGTATGTATGTATGTATGTATGTATGTATGTATGTATGTATGTATGTATGTATGTATGTATGTATGTATGTATGTATGTATGTATGTATAATGATCTGATCGTGTGCCTACGCCTTTGTGTATAACTCGTCTTTCAAAAAAAATATCATAATATACATGAGACTTTTCCATAAACATCTATAAATATAAATCATCTCATACAGGCACATTTTGCCCCAGAAACAAATAAATTTTCTCGTTTTCAAATTTTCACATTTGTCTCGGAACACATTTGCCTTATGTAAGACCGATGCGGTCGCATTTGTCTCTCTTGGGACAAATGGGACCTCAAATGTCTACCCAAAAAACTCATTTGTGTTCATGTGCTCTGATTAAGTTTTTTAAGGGAAAATTCTTAATATTTCTATTTTAATGTAATAGAGAGAAATAAGAATCCCTAAAGAAAACCCAACACGGCAAAATTGAAAATGTTACAGGATCGGTTTGATTGAGCCTGTTAAACGTTTTACTGTCAGTCAGGTGTCCCCAGGTGTTTTTGTCTTTATTTTCAGTTTCTACCCTATTATTTTGTACTCCGCGGATTCTGATGTTCCCTCTTTATTATTGGTTTTGTCTATGCAAATCTTCTTGTTAGTTGTATTTTTATATTCAATTTTATAAGAATATTTTCTTTTTTTTTCATGACCAGTTTTAATTTTCTGGCTTGTTTGCAAAACATTTTATTTACATTTTCTTCTAATGGAAAGACAATGTATGTGGATCTCCGTGTACAAATAATGGACTATGCAACTTTCTGTAGTTTACCGAGAGTTAATATCATCCAACCTGACTAAAATTTAATCATGCGTTAATACGTTGTCTCCACCTAAAGGGGAACTGGACAAAACGCATTAAAGTGATAGCTGTTGCATCTCACTGTAATAAAACATCTTATTTTTTCAATTTCTCAATTTGTTTTTTAAGAAACTAGAGAAAATTTTGGTTTGAAGAAATTTATCTTTTAAAGTTTTGTATTTTTCTTTTAAGATGAGTTTGATAGTGCTGTGCGAACATAGTTCTGGTTTCAAAGACTAGCCGCCTTAAACGTTTATAAAATCGGGAAATAATTGATTGTATGTTCAATGCATTATGATAAACCACTACAAGCAACACTGACTATAATATGTGAATAAGATACATGGTGTCGGATTCCTGGTACACTACGACGTTGACTGACCCGTCCTGTCCAGTATAAACGAGAACTACTAGTACGGTCGTAATGCGCAATGGAATTTTCGTGTCGTAACACTTCCCCTTTAATTTCAACAACTGCGCAAATCTTAACAGACATTTGTTTTAGTAGCATTTTATTCGTCTGCAGTGCACAACAGACCATTCCTTCTCAGGCATTTTACGCGTGCGTAAAACCTCGCTTGCACTTAATTGTGAGATCCTAGCCTTTCTAGCATAGTTTCGTCACAATCGCATTTTTATTTTGTCTAAACACCTAGTTTTATCAAGCGCTTTTAATGAATAATATTTGATAAGTTTTTTTAAGTTTAAGTTTTATATCATGAAAAAGAACATGTTTTATTATGTTTTTCTTCATCAGTCATTAAACAAAATGGATTTATGATATGTATCATAATAATAATGTGACACTAGTTTCATATTCATGCAAATACCCTGCATTTAAAACAGTTTGTTTTACGTCAACGCTGTTCAAGTTGTCACAAGCGTACTATGCGCCATATACACATTTCTCACACCGTACAATCAAATGGGCTGACAGCTGTTCCAGCGTCGACAGCTGTACCAGTATATACGTGTCGGCGCGGGGAATACAATTGACTAACGGTAAGTATTCATCTATTTTAACATATCCAAACTGTGTTCGAGTAATTCAATGTAATGGATTCATAGTCAACATCCAAAGGAGCATCCTAACAATTTTCTGACCCTGTGCAAGCTTTACTTCACGTGAATTTTGACTGAAAATAACCTCACTATCCGATGAGATGCGGTATTTTTAGTTTAAATTCGCAAAAACTTATATTTTCTCATGATAATAAATCTTTTTTTCATACGATTCGTAAAAGTCAACATTTCGCCATTAAATATTCCAAACCATACCTTCAAAAAAGCTTTTCTGTTAAAGTTATAAGGTATTTAAATTTGAGTGTCATTATAATTTTAGTAACGTCATCAGCTGTTCGCCTCTTTTTAATGATAACATCGACAGCAATTCATCAGCAAGAATGAATAACGCTGAAAGCCGTTCAAAGAAAAAAAAATCAGCGCTTTTGTGCTACAGTAACTAGGAAAGAGTAAAACTTTTTTGTTCATTTAAAATATTACTTTATTCATGATACTTTCTAATTATATAATTTTTATTATTACTTTCTATTATTTTTTGTATCTTAGCTGAGAGGCCTTTATCTCCATTCACCGCACTGTATTTTAATATAAAAAGGTATCAAGATCTATTAATATGTTTATGAAATGTTAAATTCAAAGAAAGTAAAGGCAAATTTAACGCTTTATACGATTACTCTGTATTATAAATAAATAATACGGTGTGTTTTTGTGTATGCTAAAATATGCATGCACTTGATATGATTTATTGATCATGTTTATCATTTTTCTTTTCTTGTAAAAGGTACATATCACGTATTAGGCAGTGTTATTTTATTGGCGTTTAATAACTTTTTTTAAATCAGTTTCATAATACCGCGTATTTCTGGATCAGCCTTCGTATAATAAATTATGAAACATACAAGAAAAGCATCGATGCAAAGCATCAAAGGGCGTCCAAGCAAGAAATGCAGCAAGTGAAGATGAACTAGTAGACATCTGATGGCAAGATATTCCTATAAACTTTTCAATGGTTAATTGTTTTAACCAGTATTGTACATGTATATCATTTATGAATAGGCAGACGAAAGACATTGTTCATCATTGTAGGCATGCTAGAGATTTTATTATTATTTTTTTTCCACAGGAACTTTAATTATTAATATTTTTAATATTAACGATAATATCCAAAATATACAGGTCTATAATATCCAAAATATACCCCCATACGGTTTATTTATACTATATAGGGGGTATTTTTGGATATTATCATTAAAATTGGTTATTTGATAGAATTTCAAGTTGATGTGGTACACACAAAATAATAGTCGAAATGAACAAAGTCTGTTAATTGATTTATTTGGGAGGTAATTTTTGATAAAGTTCCTTAGGAAAGTAAGTTAACGTATTGTCTTTTGAGATAGATTTCATTTCAGCAGTAGATAGTATCAACAGAAATGACGCAGTCAGTATGTTCAGCTGCCAGGGCCACATACCTGCTCAATGGATTTCATAACGATTGCAAAACGGAAATTGGCAAACTTGTAATATGCAATTCCCAATGTTTGTTTATATAATTATTATGTCAGTGACTGCGAATAAGTGCGATTATGCTTATAATGCACTTATCTTTGGAATATTCTTTATATTAATATTGATATCTATGTCTTAGAAATCAACTTGTTGCTTATTTTGATGTTATATTCTTTGTAATCGGTGCCTCCTCCGTAGAGCTGAAAAGTCGCAGTTTTACCTGAACAGTTTTGATGTGTGAATTAAAATCCAACAAAACAGATACAGAAATTTCTAATCGGCTGTAAAAAGTTATTGATATGCAATAAGTGTGTGATTATTATAATTAATACATAACGATATATGGTACTTGATCTACTCATATCTAATAATAGACATGTATCTAAAATGTTTATGTATTCGGAGATTATCTTAAAAATCGAAGCAAATCCATTAAAAAGATAAACATACATAAAATTTTACCAGATCATGTTAAATGTTGAATTCTGCTTAAGTCGGTGCTAGGGGGCGTGGACGGTAGTTTGCACATGACAGTACTGATTGCTTGTTAATAAATATCCTATATAAAAGTATTGTATAGCCACTGACAATGAGCATCTTCAAGAAAACGCAGAGATGTAATTTCAACGTCAAATAGATGTTACCTTTAAAAAAAGTTCGAATGATTAAGGTGACTGCCTTTCAAGCTCGACCTTAGTTTTGTCGAGACAATTTGACTCAACAAGACACTACTGTTTGTTAATGTTTGTTCAATAAAGTGACCTATTTGGTCAGAAAAGAATTTGATCTATACAATATTAACAGTCTCATTTTGTTTGTCTTACAGGATTTGTAAAACTAAGACACAGAAGAATGGTATTCTGTTACAGAAGGTAGCTACATGCCGACTTCTCAACCAAGGAATAATTGTCTATGCGATATGTTAAGTTTGTATCTATCAAATAGTTCTGAGCTATACAAAAGCAGACTAAGAGGAATGAGTCTTATTCATTTTTTTTCTCAGGAGTGAATACAATTCTTGTTTTAATATGCGAAGAAGTAAAAACAACATAACCCTTTTTATTTCGATAAATCATTGTTATTTCAACTAGTTATGATACAATTATATGTACAATTGCGACAAGTTTATAAACCAAATTATCTTACTGAGGATATTATAGTAAGTTGACGAGGGTTTATCAAGTGTACTCATCTAATCTTGGATAATTTGTTTATTTATGCATCGATTGTCTATGTTCTTTTATAAAACAATACTATATTAAGTTACATAGAAAACAACAATAGTTGAATATGGATTAATAGCTACTCGTCTCATTGCATATTAAAATAAGTCATATATGTTATTGACATGCATGCGCGCACACACGCACGCACACGCACACACACACACACACACACACACACACACACGCACGCACGCACGCACACGCAAGCACAACTGATGTAAATCGGTAGTTTTTTCTCCTTGTATCTAAAACGATGTATTACACATTTAATATATACATTGTTTAACTATCAAAACGGACAAGTAAACAATGTCAGTCTTGTAGCACTTTTATTCTCAATAGATTATTTTGTAATTAATATCATATCAACTTTAAAATATCATACGATATCAGGCGAAGCTAAAATAACAGTTTAGTTAAAAATGTACTGTCAGTTTTATAGTAAATAAAGCTTCGTTTCTGCTAACCATAGAAAATAATGATAGCATTAAAATAACGAAAAGATGGGTGTGCACGTATACACCTCATGTTACGAAGAAGTAAAAAAATAGGATTCTGTTTGGATTCAATTGTTTTGATATATGTTATGATATCAAGATTAGATAACTCTGTGCATGTTTAGTTGTACAGCTAATGGGATTACTTCCCTTTACTTGATATTCATTAATGCTATATTATATATATGATCATGCCTCTCTGATACCTAGGATTGTCACTTCAGCTCTGGTCTTAACAACATGAATTAAATGGTTATAATAAAAAGAAGAATAGATTGAATATACAACATAACAATATATAAATATCAATTATTGTCTTGATTGCTTATCCATGACCTGCATTTCCAAATTATAGATTTAACATTTATATCTGTAACTGTTTCAACGCAATCTAAGACGTAACCTCTTGCGAATTGGTCGAATGTTCCACTATCGCTCACTTTCTTAACGCGAGTGTTTTCAGTGAGCTGCAAAGGGGGCGTATCTAAGGCGGAATAAGCTTCTTTTCGAAAGTTCTCTGCCTTCATAGATATCTGGGCTCTTCTCTTAAAGTCTTCTAGGACGTTAATCCGCTGGCTGAACCCTACTTTTTTTTCTCGCTTCTCGTTCTCTATCATCAAGTCAATGTGTTCTGTCTTTGTTAAGGGATTCGGTCTAAGTGCAATTTCATTTAAGCGTTCATTGCAGACTTTCATTGCTGACAACATGTCGTCAACATCCTGTATGTGAGCATTTATTTCTTCTTCAAGCCTTTTTACTATCTGTTCTTGTGACAGCACTGTTCCCGTTGCCTTTCTATATTTTATTTGCATTTCTTTATATGTTTTCTTTTTTTTCACAGTAACATATTTAAATATAATTTGTGAGTTTGCATGTTTCTTCCAGTAACATTTTTCAGGGCATATCTTACAATTTCCGTCTTTTCCCATCGCAATGCATCCCTTTTTTGCTTTGTTATCAGGCAGGGCACAATTTTCGTGGCATGTGAAATGGCAATGCGTACAGTTAGTAACATGTTGGCCACGAGGTAAGTTATATTTCTTTTGTTCTGTTTCTTCTACTTCGTATTCAAAATCTTTGTTGTCCTTTATCAAGGACATATTTTGCTCAAACACCTCTTTTTCCTGTTGCATGTTTCTAACTTTGGAAAGTCCTACGTCAAGAAACGGAAGCAAGTTCTTAATCGTTGCTTCTAGGCGGGCACGTTCATCAAGAACATATTTTGTCAGTTGAAGACTTTTCGTTTCCAATTGTTCTAAGTGGTCAAAGAAAGCGCCAAAACTTTTCAATCCCATATCCCAAAACATCGGGGATAAACTATGAGAACTGAGTTCTACATTTTTTGAAAACAGACCGGAGTTATTGAAAGTGAAACTCTTGCCAAACGGCAAATTAGATTCTTTCATTGCATGCAACACTGGCGGATCAATTCCATCAGCAAAGGTAATAAGAGAGCAAATGTTATCTTCAATGTCTCTGCCAAACAGCGACATAATTGATTGAAAAATGTAATTTTGAATTGCAGTAAGACGAGCATCCGGAGCTTTGACTAGGAAACAAACAGCATCTATGAATAAAACACCTATTGGCTCTTTGTAAGAAAATAATTTTCTGATTTGTTCAACGATTTCTTGATCTTTTTCTAGACCTCTTGTATCTCCAAAGCCAGGCGTATCAATTATATTTATCGAGTACTTTACACGGCTACCCTTTTCAGGGTAAAGCTTGTAACATGTAATCCATTCTGTTTGGCTTAGAGCCTGTAATGTAATGAAACAATATGACTGAATGTTTTTCATACATATTTTGACATCTGGAATAACATGCTTTAAAGATCCTATAACTCAATTTTTTATGGTTTTATATCATAAATATAATGCTCAAATGAAGATTTATCTATATTGTAAGTTCCAAAAACCAATATTTAAAAAGATATTACCAAATTTACATTTTCAAGTTAATAAAGGGAGGTAATTAAAAATTTATTTTCTATAAAGTCTAAGTCAATTTTTTCAATAAGAAATGAATACATATATTTTAATTATTACATATAATGTGGACAAATATTTGCAACACATATTTTACTTATCGTCGATGTTTGAAAATTGTTTTAGAAGCATAATTATATACATATATAAAAGTTCTCTTAAGTGTTGTTAAGCTTTAACTTCATTCATTCATTCATTGGTAACAATCCTGATTCTTTAAATTAAAAAAAGGAAAAGGCCGGTAAAGAATAAACAAAAAAGATGAATATATTAAGTTTTTACTTGATTTCTCTGTTTGTCTTTTTCTTCTTGCTCCAAATCTATTGCAGTAAATCTGAACGGATCATCCCATTTGACTCCTAAAACATAGTTCACTAATCCATCTACGAATGTGCTTTTTCCTGTCCCAGTTTCACCAACCAGCATAATTGTTTTTGTGATCCCAGTGTCTCTTGGAAGTGAACCTAAATAAACGCATTATGTTTAAATTTTGGGAAGTATTTCCGTACTGTTGAATTAGAATTGTTGTATTTTAATTCATTCAATGTTTTATTGCTATTTTATTGACTTTTTCAAAGGTCCATGTTGCGTTGCTTACTACTGGCATTGATCAAATTAAAACGATTCATTACTTTAGTTGCCTATTACACAAACACCTACTTTGTATCAGAAATTACTATTTGGAGCTATAAGACTTTGAAATTATTATAATATTCCAATTGTTAAACTTTGGAAATGTGTAACCGTGCAAAGAACGAAGAAAAGAATCTTAATTTTTTTGAAGTACATTATAGCTTTATTTTACGTAATCCGCTGCAATCATGATAAAGATTAAGAATATAAATGTACATTATTTTTACGCTGAAGGATGTTAACATTCTGCTGGTAAATACTGCAATAATAAGTGTAATGTTGCATGATCATAATTTCGATATTATTTATCAGATAAACACCATGATTATCATGGATATAGTTGAAATAGTTTTATTCTTATGCTGCTATGATCGTACTAATAGATTATATAATTACCGAGTTCAAATTTCTTTGTTTTTGCAATTTCATTTCTTGCTTCTCTTACTTCAGTTACTGGCAATGCATAAATTGACGGTGATGGACTTCCTTTCTCGTTCAAAGCAGACATCTGTACAATTCGTGAGGCTGGAGAATCTAATGTACGTATAATATCGCTTTCGTTACTGTATGGACCCTCGCCATTCTGATACACCACACGGACTCGAAAAATAAATCGTGTATTCGACTTAAGATTACAAAGAACAGCAGTTGAAGAATTGAATTCATCTTGATAAAAACTCCACTTTTTTCCGTTGTCGAGATCTTTATAACTGACCTGATAGTAGTCATCACTTCCAAATTTCGAAGGGTTTCTCCATGATAATGTAACTGTATCGGACAGGACATCAGACGGTCTTGGTTTTCCTGGGCAGTTCTGTGAATTGTGTTAACAAAGGAAATAATTGAAGGAAAGTTTGGCTCAAAATGTAAAAGTTAAACAAAATATCTTTATATATGGAATTTGATTCTTACAAACAATCTTTTTGTATCATGTATATCAATAACTTATGTTTTGTTTAGGTAATTGTTAAATTTGACTTACCTGCCCATTAACTGACTCGTTTTTAATTCGTCTGAAAAATAAAAATAGAGACGTAAATTAACAATGAAAAAGATAACATTAGCTAATAAAAAGAAGGTTCTATTCTTTTCTGACATGTTAGCTTCATTGCTTTGTTCGTTTTAAAAATGCAAGCATTATATAAAACAATAAATTGCAGAAGTTGGTATTTCGAACACATACTAGGAAATTAGAATTGTTTAGACTCTTTATTACTACCTTAATAGTCTTTAAAAAAAGCCTGAAGAAGAATGCAAAGGGGAATATACCTGCATTTGAAATATACCTGAGTGAATGCCGTAATCTTTTCATTTCTACTTTGTTGTTGGAATTCTTTTAGAGTTGATACTCCAAAATAGTAACTGTTCTATATTTCTAACGTATTCTGGAATGAACTGAAAATCTAAATCATTTACAAAGAAAACACAAATTATTGATTAATGAATCAAATATCCTATATTTCTTTCAGTCATAATGGTACGTATTTTAAACTGTCTAATATCACTCTTAATTCAACACAATAAATAAAACAAAAATAAAAACATAACATTAAGTATTTAAAAAGAAATAATTTCTTGATGATGTTGACCGCTTTCTAGGACTTTATTTAAAAGTAACAAGTGCGTTACACTTAACAACAAATTAAACCTATACAAAGATAAAAAAAAAAAGCCAATACTACATGTTGAAACATGACTTGATTCTCCGTAAAAGATATAAATGTATTTGTTTATTATAATAATATCCGAACATCCGGAGTGATTCATAATTCAAATAATTCAACACCTAAAGATTAGTTCATTTTTTTGCCCACAGACCCCTTCCTAACTTTCCTATAGTTTGATATTGAAAGATTGCAATACATTAACAGCGCTTTTCTTTGTTAATCACATTATTAAATACATCTTCTTTACACTAACTCATATGCACACTATGTCTCAGAAACGAATATTTTCTTCTTCTTTAGAATGTACAAACGTGAGTTAGTAGCGCTGAAGGTGAGGTAATTTGCCATAAAAGAAGCAAAATGTAAACAATTAAATACAAAGTGTTTAACAATACAAGTATGCCCATGAAAATATTTTGAAAACTATAACAGGAAATCAAAAATAACTTATTAGTAATAAAGGCACAAGTTACAATTGTTTTCTGTGGGAGGGGATTTGTAATAATTTTAAGATATTTCATTTAACAAAAAAAAAACTAAAACGTTTGTATCGAGAATATACAATGTAGTTGACAAAAATCGGTCTTTGGAGACCGGTGACGATCGGAGACCGGAGAGGTCGACCGTCTGTATCATTATTAAATTGCGTGTAATAACGATATTTATTACATGCTTTTCGGTGGTTTATAGAAATATATCAGTGATATAAAACTGGTAATTTCACTGTTTGAAACAGTGAAATTACCACTTTGATAATTTCACTGTTTTGAATTTAAGCCCCTTACGTTGTTTTAGTGAAATACCAGCGTGCACAGTACTGGGTACCAACTTAATGACGTGACGTCTTAAATAACGTCACGTTGTATTATTATTTTGCGCGCCTTTCATTCAGTATTAGATTTAATGTCTTTTTAAAACGTTTCTTTGCATATAATAAAAAGAAAATGTGTTTAGTTTAGGGTAAGATCGAAATATATTTCACCTTGTTAACACCAAAAGTTCATATTTCACTCGTGGCTTCGCCACTCGTGAAATATACCTTTTGGTGCTCACTCGGTGAAATATATAGAGGATATTGAATGAGTGTAGGTTTAATACTAAATTTATTGAACGAGTTGAATAAAATCATATTATGCGAGCCTCTGGCGAGCATAATATTGTTTTACTCAACGAGTTCAATAAATTTAGTATTGAATCTACACGAATATAATATTCTATTTATCACATATATAAAATAAGAACGGTAAACTGTTATCAAGAGTCATTTTTCTTTGACGCGCCTATAGTGTAACGCTAACATTAACGCGCTTTATCGCTATGTTTATAGCGCAAATGACGTGACGTCAAAGTGTTATTACACTAGTGTAATATCGTCTAGTGTAATATCGTTTTTATTAAATGGCTTTATTACACTCCTGCGCCGCGGTTTATGTGATAAATTCCGATCTTACACTGAACTAAACAAATATCCTCTATTTATCACATAAACCGCGGCGCAGGAGTGTACTAGAGCCATTTAATAAAAACTATATTACACTAGTGTAATAACACTTTGACGTGACGTCATTTGCGCTATATAGAAACATAGCGTTAAAGCGCGCTAATGTTAGCGTTACACTATAGGCGCGTCATTGAAAAAAGACTCATTTTAACAGTTTACTGTTCTTATTTTATATATGTGATAAATAGAATATTATATTCGTGTATATTCAATACTAAATTTATTGAACTCGTTGAATAAAACAATATTATGCTCGCCAGAGGCTCGCATAATATGATTTTATTCAACTTGTTCAATAAATTTAGTATGAAACTACACACATTCAATATCCTCTATGTATGCATATGGTATTTTTTGGCTTTAAGTATTTCTTTTCAAGAAAATGATGAAATACCGTTGTATGATTAATTCCATGCAAAAAAGAGAAATAAAATAAAGTAAACAAAAGTTTTCAATTTTATACATTTTCATTGTAGAAACAATTTTTTTTTAAAAAACTGAGATAGATATTAAAGGAACATTGATAATTTTTAAACACATAAAGTTTTTTTACCTCAAACGGTAAAATAATGATAGAAAAATAGAAATATAGTATTAAGTACTTATTATAAGGTGTAATTCCCGACAGCTAAATCCGTAACGTACCGGAAAACGGCGTTTAGCTTGGTTTTTGAAAATGTCAATAAACCAATCATTTACGGTTTACAGATCACGTGCTCCTGCATGTACCAAAACAGGCCACGTGCTCCTCCATGCCTTAAAAATTAATCGCGTACCAATACCCTGCAGGTTCCAGCCCGCAAGGAATAATATTTATTCCAAGGTCATTAGATACCTCGCTAATTATAAACATTCAGTATCAGTCAAATATCAAATTTCTATCTAAAAGAATAATTATATACATTACCAAACCATTGTCGTACAATTTCTATTATTTCCCGGTTCAGATTATGTTTTCTTATTAATTAAGGTGTGCAGTCGAGAATAAAGTTCCACTTCTTCTAAAATAAAATATTGTCAGATTTCTCCATGCTAAAGTCATATTTATGCTCTAAAAAGTACGTAAACTTTGTTTACATTAATAATACTTTACCAGAATTTTAAGCAGTGCTGAAAAACAATGAGAAAAGGGTACAACTGTCCTTTAAAAATTATATTCAAACAATTATTATAAAAACAAACTAGTATAATAAAAAATCTATTATAATGCGTGTGTGTGTCATCAAAAAAATAAGAAACTCACAAATCCATTAACATTCTAAATCCAGACCCCCTGCATCTTAATGAAATCGTGATCAGCGCACTGTGTTAATTGTTCAGTAAACGAGTATTTATAATCACAGTGAACCTTGACATTGCGCTTCTTTTAAGATGACACAGTTGTACCAAATCGTGCACGTAAGTAACAAAATAAATACATGTAAATTACACTGCACTATTTGTTATCTGCCCGGTTTATTAATGTCCCAGGTAGACCTAAATCTATAAAGTCATGTCTCTTTACAGGCACACTTGGATTTTTGGTCTCTCTTAAAAAATGTATTTGGTATGTTTGAGGTACATTTCATTACATTTTTCACAGTAAGAATATCTTTGAATGAGACCTTTAAAAATAAATTTACCATGCAAAGTTACATTACTTGTATTACAATCAAATACAAGAGCTTGTTTACAGGGAGACAACAATTGTGTGTTGGGTCTCTTTCAGGCTATTTGTGATTGATTTTGGGCTTAACTTCCGAAACTCTGAATTTATGTTTCAAAAAATCTCAAAAAAGATGTCACAATGGACCCACTTGCGTTACACAGTCCCATTTTTTTACATGAGATTATGCTCCTTTTGTAAATCTTGCAATGAATATTTCTCTGCCAATCATTTCCTTTTTGACTGATCTGACACAGGTTCATGATCTTTTTGACTCAGATCCACCCATAACTTTGATCTATTATAAAAAGGAATAAGCTTGTAATCTAAGATTGAAGTATAACTCATTAATAAGCTTGTTCTAACTCACATCCGGTTTATTGATATTATTCTAATAATTACTGTGTTCGATCCTTTATGGCAAGTTATGTTTCGATGTGCCGTTAAACCCAAACAAACAAAGTGTGTGTCAATGTGTCTTAGGACTGATATTTCATTTAAGAGCTACATAACGGATTAGCTACACATACTTTTATTTAAATATCATCGTTTAATTAATGTGCAGTATACAATGTACATAAGTGATATTTATAGTACATGATAGTGTTTCTTTTTAATGCACACCATTTATGATTAATTATCTGTTTCTAATTTTAGAAACAATAAATATTGCCAAATATGGATATAAAAACTTGTTTTCCATGAACAACCTTTCGAAGTTTAACAATTAGAATGTAACGTGTTTAAATATTTATTCGGTGAATCATATCAGCGTTCTACTTTAATAATAAATTTATCTTTGATAATTAATTATTCGGCGACAATGTTGAACAATTCAAGGGCAAGGATACCATTTAATTACATTTTGATATACACAAAATAGTGTTGTTGCTTTACCAACCAATATTGACTTCTGGCATTTCAAATTTGAATAGAATTAGTAATACAAGCTACTTATTTAATAAAGCTAATTTGAAAGTGATAATCTGTCAATTGTCGTTCCATGTTTGATATTCGACTCAGTTGTACTCATTTTAATACATGTAGTATTATTCCAAAACTTAATTATGGAATATGGAAATTTTTAAAGTTAAAAAAATTGTCATCGCAGCTATAGATAACCAACAAACATAACACAAGTATTGAAGTACAGACTGGATGGCTACATGTCAGTTATTGTAAACTCGCCACATTACGTAAAGTTATATTATTTCTGAAATTATAATTATCAGTATATAAATTTCTTAAGTAAAAATATGATTCTACTGGCTAGCGCTTTTTTTTTTTCGATATAGGTCTTGAAGCTGGATACCAGGCAATAGAATAAGTTTTGTTCCCAACAATGTTTAAAGATATCTTAATTTCAAACTTTTCAATTATGTTTGTTTCATGTGCATAGTGGATTGGATATGATTTTTTTTAAGTTTATAAAGTTAAACAACTCTCACTATTCTCATTCAAACAATATTTAGTCACTGCAATTGGTGTATTATATGCACTTCGTTTAGAAATTACTCACTTGCTTGAAATGACATAAAAAATATATCGACGTTTGACAGCGAAACAAATAACGAACATTACGAAGAAATGCTAAGAAAATTCTTCATCGTGTAATACAGGCACTGGCATGAAATTAGATTTAATGCAATAAAATATTGTTTTATAAGAAAACGAGAAAATAAGATAATTAAAAAGAGATATGAAACAAGAAAATTAAAAACACAAACAATTGTCAAATTTGCGAAAAATGTACATCCTGGAAAGTTTCATTTTCACTAGAATGTTAACAGAAAACATCCTTACCGATTGCGTTATGCCAACAGTTGGTAAAAATATGTGATATTTGTAAAGTGAATATATGGCCTGTTTGACAAGTGATAACTTTAACAACGGTTTTACACCAGCCACCGCGACACTCTATACTAACTGAATAGTAGATTTGTGTATAGTTGTGCAATATACAGATACGGAAAGATGTTCAAAATGCAATTCCTAAAGTTTCTCCTGGTTCTTTAGCGTGCCAAATGTTCAACACTCATACACGTGACTTCGATTTAAAGTCGCATACGAAAGACTGATAAGTAATTTCCGTTGGCCAGTCCTGGGATCGAAACTATCTCGTTGAGATTACAAGTGTCGCGCTAACCAATTTAGCTATACAGGCTGGCTGAAATAAGACATGAAAAAAATCTGTTTCATGTATGCGGTAACGTTATACAGCCGTGTTTTTGTAGAAGCACTTATTAAATTTTCCATACGGATAGACATCATTTGGTTCATTATGATGTCAGTTTTGTACCTGATAAAAGACAATTTTGTAAATAATTGCGCAATAGTTGTACCGTTCAATGTCGAAAGATTGAATGATATTACAAACGGGTAAAACAAATTAAAAACAAGATAATGTATCGACATAACAAGTTCAAAGTTTGTGTTGATACTAAAGTTTATACATTTTGTATATGAGATAACCTTTTTAATATATCTAGATTAGATGGACACCGTAGTCACGTACATGTACTAATAATAAGATAAAAAAGTAGACCCATATGATAAAATTGTTTACTTTTAATGTGGGGAAAGACTGTCTAGTTCATGTTTGAAACATGATCAACAACACGGGTGCTGTACATATTACATGAACGATTACAATAAAAATCATGTATTGATGTCTGCTTTGATTAAGTTTATCAACGTCTTTACATGCTAGAGATTTATATATTTTGCTGGGATTTTGTTTTGAGATTTTAAGACGATATGTAGGACGATGATTGCTGGTACTTTTATTTTGTATTCGCTGCCGGAATAAATTCATATGAACGAGACTATAAGCACCAATGTCAATTGAGGTACTTCTTTTTAAGCTGGTTGTTTTGTTGTTTGAAGGCAGAGGGAACAAGACTCTTCTTTCCTTTGTAGGGCCACACACTGCGGAAAAAGTCACGACAGGACACCAACCTACCCACAGGTCTTGGGTGCATTGACCTTTCTCTGCCCTGTGGCTACTCTTAGACGTGCGCTCATCCGGAGGGATTAGTTAAAACGAACAAAGCCTTTATCCTTACCAATGTTTTCTAAGTTTAAAGAAATCTTGGGAACATTTCACTCAGTTCGTAATTTTTCATTAATTGCACCCAATACGCATTTTTGCATCGTAATTAAGGATGGTCAGACAACAGTGATTTCCTAACAAACAAATCGGTGTTTGTCGAATATGGCATTTGGTCGAACACATCAGTTCTTTGACACTGAGACTAAGACAGATGATCAAAAATAAATTTTAATCCTTCGACACTTGAAATCGCCCCCACTTCACAAATTCTTGATTTCGTGGACAAAACAACGGAAACTCAAGAAGCTCCAGCAAAAACATCAAGAACTTTCATCTGATCTGCCACAAGAATTTCGAGCTTACTTGCTTACAGAGTCTACGGTAAAACGACCGATATAACGTCAATATTGCATAAATACCAGTGGTCTTATCTGAGCTTTGATTCGTGGAGAATGGCAAAGGTCTAATATTGGTTATCAATTTCATCATGCAAATAAGAGACAGAGTTGTTACTTCTGCACAGACAGCAATTTACGTAACTTATGTAGAAGCCGTGTTTGGTATGGTGACGGTACATTCAGTATTGACCAAGCAAGGACGGAGAATGTCGTTGAAGAACAAATTGCAGTAACAATCAAGAGTTTAATTAAAGAATGTCATATACTTTCTTTTGACCAGTATTTCATGTTTTGTCTTTTATTTGTATTCGACAAGATAAACAAATTTTCGACAAGTTTCGACATAAATTGTCACAATCTACAATGAAGGTTATATTCGCCAGTGTATGCATACTGCTGTATGACAATTGCATATTGCTTTGTTTAATTCGCTTTTATTATAATTTGCATTTCCCCATACGCTCTGTTTGTTGCAAATGTATTGCAGTTTTTGCAACTCGATATATGTAAATCATACATTCTTTATTGTACAAAGAAAATGCATATTCGGTTGTTCATAGATTGTGTATTGTATATAACCTTCAAATGTTGATGATCTGAAGTTCTTATTACTTTTGACGTGGTTCTTTGTGACTATATATCGTATAATACACACAAAGGTTTTTAGATATCTACATGTTTTATTTCCTTTTGGTAATTTCGATGTTGAATGTTCATTCCATAAGTCTTTTAAAGTACACGATTAAACCTGGAATTTATGTTTTGCAGGCAGTTATGTTTGCTTATGAATGTATTAAAACACATTTTCATATTCACTTTAAAGATATCTACACAAAGCAATACGATGAAAGTTTTAATCTTATTTGAATTATTATTGTGTCCGTCTCCAGGATCTTACAAGTGTCTACATTTAGGGGGAGGGGTGTTAACGTCGCACCAACACAATATAGGTCATACGGCAACATTGAAGCTTTACTAGTAGTAGATGACCTCAGGTCCCCTCCGTGCATTATTTCAGGCACGAACGGGCATCGACGTTCCGTTGGCTCGAGCCAGCGCCTGTATTATGGATTTTAGATATCTACATGTTTTAGATATCTACATGTTTTAGATATCTACATGTTTTATTGAGTTTCGGTATGTTCATTTCATAAGTCTTTTAAAGTACACGTTTTGAGTTTCGGTATGTTCATTTCATAAGTCTTTTAAAGTATACGTTTAAACCTGGAATTAATGTTTTGCAGGCAGGTATGTTTGCTTATGAATGTATTAAAACACATTTTCATATTCACTTTAAACATATCAACACAAAGCAATAACAAACATAAAACTCTTTGTTTAATTGATACTTATCTTAAAGTTACTTTTCTAAACAAAGGTATTGATTTCATCAAAATTTAAACCCAGTATTTTTTGTGTTTTTTAAAAGCGTTAAACCCCAGGGGATTTTTCCCAAAAAATTTTTAAAAAAATCTGAATTCCAATTATTTTGGGTATATATAAAAACGCCTGTCCCCGAAAAAATAATTTTTTTAATTAAAACAAAAAATTTTCTCTGACCTAAAAACACCCAAATAGTTGAAAACTGCAAAAATCAAAAAATTTTGTAAAATTGGGGTTTTGGGCCCTAAAAATCACTGGTGATTTTGATATAATTTTAACCCAAAAAGAGAATCCGTTATTTATTTCTAAAAGGACCAAAATTTAGAATTCCTTCCGATATTGATTTTAATGTTTGTCCAAGTCAGATAGCTGATTCGATCGAGGACTTTTCAGTAAAATGGTGTCGTCGCGAAAATGCTGATAGTAATGCACTTAATACATGGAAACATACTATATTAAATATTGTTGAATCACGTATAGAATTTCATCGTGGGAATAAACATCTTTTACCACCTAAACCTAGACTTACTTTACGACATCTTAGAAAGGATATATTTTGGCGTTCCACTCTAAATTTGTTTAAGTACCTTTAACAAGGCGGCCAACAACATTATTATAGTAAGGCGTATTCATTACAAAAATGTTTTACAAAATGAACTTAACAGCACTAATGCTTATTCTAAAACCGTTCTTTCTGAACAGTCATATTTCTAGTATTTCTAACTTTAAAGTACGTGTTGATGAGAAAGAGCTTAAACTTCCTATCATGTACTGGATTCCAAAATTACATAAACATCCATATAAAGCCCGCTTCATTTCTAATTCTACAATTTGTACTACCAGTAATCTTTCTATTTTATTGACTTCTTGCCTTACTGCCATCAAGGCACATGTCATTAGATAGTGTGAAACAGTTTATGAAAATACGGGCATGAATCTTTTTTGGTCTGTTAAAAATTCAACTGAAATTTGAGATAAGAATTATCAAGCTTCATCTGTAAGTACTTACGATTTCTCTACCCTATATACAACATTGCCACATAATCGTATAAATGATAAATTATTATCTTTAATTCAAAAAAAAACATTTGCAAGAGAAAAGGTGACGTTTCTTGCTTGCAATTCAAAAAGGGATTTCTTTACCAATGGTATCATTAAACAATAAAAATGTAGACCTGTGACGAAGTTTGAAAAGCACTTTTGTTTTTATTAGATAACATTTATGTCAGGTTTTGGTAATACAGTTTTCAAACAGATAATAGGCACTCCAATGGGTACTAGTTGTGCACCCCTGATAGCTGATTTATTTCTTTACTGCTATGAGAGGGACTTTATGTTAAGTCTTTCCCCTACTTCACATCAGGAAATTATACATGCATTTAACAACACTTCCCGCTACCTAGATGATATCCTTAACATGAATAATCCTTATTTCGATCAGTTGATTTCTTAAATATATCCCAGTGAACTTAAATTAAATAAAACTAACTCTTCAGACGTTATTACATCTTTTTTTAGATTTAATCATTTCTATCATTAACAATACTATAGTAACTAAAATCTACGATAAAAGAGATGATTTTGATTTTAATATTGTTAACTATCCACATTTAGATGGAGATGTACCTCATGCTACATCATATGGGGTGTATATTTCTCAATTTATTAGATTTGCTAGGGAGTGCAGTCGTGTTGATGATTTTAATGATCGCAATTTATTTATTACTAACAAACTTATTAAACAAGGTTATCGCTATCATAAATTGCGTAAATATTTTACTAAGTTTTACCATCGTAATTCAGATTTAGTATTAAAATTTAATTGTACATTAATTTGAAAACTCGACAAGGTATTAGCAAGCCTGATTTCTATGGAGATGTGGTTAACAAACTTCGTAGGATCATAGATCATAATAATTTTTCTGCCGTCTTCACAAAAATTATCAAACGGTTTTTTAAAAGAGGTTATGACCCAATTATTTTAAGGTCTCAACCCGGTACGGAATTAGACCGAACCCATTGTAGTCTAGAAAGTACATTGTAGTTCTTTGAAATTTTGAAATGGCTCAATTTAAGTCATCTCTAGTTAGATTGGTCATGATTAAAGTGTATTTATTGCATGTGTGTAGTTTTTTTGTGTTATATGATGACTTTAAAAGTTGTTTTTTGTGTATTCTCCAGGAACTCATTTGTTGGTGGAAGGATTAAAGATGTACTACCCACCAGCTGTCAGGAGTTTTTAAAGTGGTGAATTTAAACAGTGTTACAACAGAATGAAGATTTCTGAAAAAAGTAGATGGCTAACCTATTATATTTTGGGCCTCATTGTGCTTAGATAGTGTTAATGTTTAAAGTTGAAGACAGTATATAATTCATCAAGAACAGTGGAATCCAGAATTAAGCCTCAAATTTGACTGATTTACTATAGAACAAATAGTACGAAATTTCACCGGGCCGCGTCCAATATAAGAAATGAGGAAAATGGGAACTGGTTGATGGATATGGATGAAACTTTGCATCAGTGTTGTGTTTATGAATAGAAGTCAGGAAAATAAAGGATAACTGACAGGTTTGAAGATTTTAAATTGGGACATATGTTGTTATTGTTATCTCCCCTTCAAATGTAGATGTCTGCTACTGTGTCAGTAAGCAGGGAGAAGGGTACAGAGCTTTTGCGTGAAAGATTAACCACATTTTATTGAATCTATAACTGTAAAAATAAATTTAAAATTAAAAAATGAAATTTAAATTTTGTAAAAAGCAGTTTATAAATTGATAAATTTTATTTTTGCACCCTGTGTTTAGCAATATACTAGTACTATAAATCTAGCTTATTTTTTATAAGATTTATATAGAAAAAGATAATTTTTAGAGAAATGCATCTTAAATTATGGATAAACTATGCATTGCAAGGAATTGGGGAGTGTGTGGTTTCAGATTGGTGACATTGGTAAAAAAGTGGTTGGCAAGGTCATTCCAGAGATCTTAGGGGCCCAAGAAGCACCGGTCATGGGATTCGAACAAGCACCATAGTAGCCTTTTGCTCATATGGACCACACATTACATGTTTTGATGTTTCAGAAAAGGATTGATGCTGTAGTAATCAGTATGTAAATATTCACTATTGTCTTGTATTTCAATGAAGCAGAACTGACAATTGAACAGGACAAATTTGATTTATATTTTGGAAATATAGGCATTTTCAGTGTACATGTAGTTGAGTAGTTGAACTTGATGTTTTGCTGTGTTGCAGAATGTATTTGCTATTAACATATACACATAAAAGATTTTTTAGTCAATAAACAGTGTACTTTATGGATAATTGGCTCATTTAGAATAACACAGTTGATATGATTGTTGTTGTTGTTGTTGTTGTTGTAGCTGCTACAGCAGTTAAATTAGGTTAGGTTTACAATGTCTAAACTGCTATTTTCATGCAGGCATGCATTTTTCAGCACACAATATTTATATATGCTCTCCTGTGTAAATTAGCAAATCTAGCCATTGATTAATTAAGACATTATTTTCTTTCTTTTTCAGATATCAGAATTACAGCATAAATGCCTCTTATAATGTTCTTAGGCATGTACTAGTGTTTGCATTATTTTTTTCAGACTGTGCAGTTACCAAAGCCTGGGTTTGAGTACAGGACCTTACCTTATCCTGGTAAAGATCTATGGAAGGACTCCTTCAGCTCAGTTTGGCAGCAGCTTTGTCAGGACACATTGAGAAGGTAATAACTTTTGTCTAGTTTGAAACTTCAGCTATTGACGGTAGCGACTCCTAATGCTCGGGCAATATTTGGTAGTTATTTTGATGTATATCAGGAGAAAACTTCTCTAATTCTGACTATATTAAGACTTCTCAATGATTTAAAGTGGGAGACGGTATGTGTCATCTTTTTTAAGCCTTATTTGTGTGAGAGTTGGCTAATCTTACTTTGTCAGAAGACATAGCCCATGGTGATATGGTAACCTCTTTGCTAACCTTAAGATTACCTCTGTTTGTCTTTATTGATATCTTAAGCAAACAATGTAGGGTTGTGTATGTTGGTTCTTTACTTTATTTACCATGGTATATAGGTAAAAATCATAATCAGTAAGTTTTATTACAATATTGAAGGAAAAAATTATGAAAAAAGCACATTTAATTGTGATTACTTGTATTTTAACCCAGAATTTCATGCTCTCATTGAAAGAAATGGAGTTTCTATTACAATTTTTAAGCAAGAAGGTCTTATTCTTTCATAAAAATAATTGTATGACATTAGCCGGTATCATTTAACTTTATTCGAAGAAAACCCATTGACAGAATCACAAGATATGACAGAATTTGTACCTTTTTCTACATATTTTCATAATTTGTATGTGTTTTATTTCTTTCGTCTAATGTTACCTTGAACATTGTTAGAATTCAACTTGGCGGGGATTAATTTCATTTACACTTTCATGTCATTCAGGAACATTTTGGGGCTAAGAGTGAGGTTTGGGGCGCCTAAAACAAATTTAAACTCCCCAGTGGTTTAACTACCACTGACCGTTCCAAGGCGGTACCCCTCCGTGTTCCTTCACGTGTTTGTTACTTGTTTTTGAATGTTTACATGTTTTGTGATGTCTATCTTGTTGGATTGTCGTTTACGGTAGGTATTTTCTTACACCCCCTCCCATTTTTAACCCCCTCCCCTTTTCATACTGACAGCCCTTATCCCTTTAATTCCCATAAGGGCCCGTTTTAGTTTATTATTTCACGCATTACATGTCCCTCTCCTTTCATCGCCCTTATGTCCACTCCAGGTTTTGGCTGGGTGCATTCTGGGTGCACTACTTTGGTGTGTCGGGGGTTGCATCCTATGAACGATGCCTTTGCCTTGTTGATCTTAATTATTGTCTTTTTTCACCAACACTGTTAAGGTCGTATGGCTACTATCTAGCTTAATTGGTGAAGAATGTTTCTTTTAAGATTAACTAAAAAATTTTTTACCTGCTTTTAAAAAAAAAAAAAAAAAAAAAAAAAAAAAAAGATGATTTTTTTTAATCTTATTTATTTTAAACCTTTTTTAACATAAAGGAAAATTTGACTAAAAGGGAATTTTAAAAAGTGGATTTAAAGCGGGCTGACCCTCCAAAGATAGCAGAAAAACAGCCGTCTTGCTAATATTTCAAAAATCCCCCCTCAAAAACATTAATATTGGTAGAAAAAGTAAACGAAATGACACTTCAAAATGTTCATATTTTAACATTATTGCTCTGAAAAACAAACGGTACGGGAAATACCTTTCTTCTATTATACCCACGGGGAATCCCTTTCATCCGGGTTTTTTTTTTTCTAGTATCACGTGATCGTACAGGACAATATCGCGACCTGTGCTCCGGAACGCACGGAATCCGGGATTTTATCAAAACATATAGGGGATACCAATAATTGCTTTTTGTTTTTATATTTGTAGTTATTCATAGCCCTAAAAATTATAATTAATTAATTACTTCATATTATAAATGAACCAATTTTATCGATTTAACTTTAGCTTGAAATGTGATAGGGGCCCTACTTGACTAAAAAATTGGATAAAACGATCCGGGCATACCGGATACCGGGATTTTTTTTCTGGACCACTGTTGTGACAACTTGACCGCGTTTAATGCATTATCTTCTCCTTTTATATTGGCTACTGCCGTTAGTAACGAGTAGTAGATTATGGAAAAGAAAAACCCGATAAAAAATTAACGCTTTTTGTCAACAATTCTTTCTTGAATTAAAAAGTGTCAGTGATGATGGGTTTATACAATAAACCTAAACTAATCAGTATTTACTTGCTTACTTGAAATTTTATTTCATTTTTACATCTGGAGGCCAGGTGGCTTTAATATGGCTGGGTAAACAATGTTAAAGAGCAGACTACAGTGAAAGATGAGTGAGTCTATACAAGAATGATTGTTTTGTTTTTTTACTTCTAATAAATGAGGTACCCCCCTCCCCTGAAAGAGTGTCATGAAAAATTTAAACACCCACAAGTTTAAGTACCTGATACATGTTTCCGTATGATATGCTTCAGATCCTGTTTAGTTTTATGTTTTTGTTACATTTATACACAAAAACATAGGGTTGATTGAATATTAAATACACTTTAAGAAACTAAGTAACTTTTTGAACTTTGTACATAGACCTAGAAAACAATATGTTCGTGAAGTTGGCAGCCAAGCAGCCTAGCAGCCTGAAGTTGGCAGCCTAGCAGCCCAGCAGCCTAGCAGCCTGAAGTTGGCAGCCTAGCAGCCTAGCAGCCTGGTAGCCTAGCAGCCTAAAGAATACTAAGAATAGTACAAACATGAAATTCTTCGGAAATACATTAGTAGCACTTTCTTTAGATCATTCCCACGCCTTTTCAATATTGTATCTTTATTTTTTTAAGATGTTGAACTTTATCTAACATTAACTTTTTCATTCTGACGCTTCAAATTTTTTGAAGTTAGCAGCCTAGCAGGATAGTACAAACATGAAAACCGTCGGAAATTAATTGGTAGCAAATACTTAGACCATTCCACGTCTTATTTCAGTATCGCATACTTCATTTTTTTTAGATAATTAAATTAGTTAAATTTAAATATTGAACTTTGTTTTTTTTTTTTTTTTTTTTTTTTGGTGTTTTTTTTTTTTGACACTTCGAAATTGTGAAGTTTAGCAGCCTAGCAGCCCTGGCAGCCTAAGCAGCCTAAAGAAAACTAAGGATAATATAAACATGACAACCGTCGAAATGAATCGGTAGCACATACTTAGACCATTCCACGTCTTTTTTTAATATCACGATCTTTATTTTTTTAAATATTGAACTTTTTTTTTTGACACTTCGAAATTTGTGAAGTTACCAGCCTAGCAGCCTGGCAGCCTAGCAGTCTAAAGAAAACTAAGGATAATACAAACATGAAAACCGTCGGATATGAATTGGTAGCACATACTTAGGCCATTCAACGTCTTATTTCAGTATCGCGATCTTTATTTTTCAAATATTGAACTTTGTTTTTGTTTTTTTTTTGACACTTCGAAATTTGTGAAGTTAGCAGTCTAGCAGCCTAGCAGCCTGACAGCCTAGCAGCCTAGCAGCCTGGCAGCCTAGCAGCCTAGCAGCCTAAAGAAAACTAAGGATAATACAAACATGAAAACCGTCGGAAATGAATCGGTAGCACATACTTAGACCATTCCACGTCTTTTTTTAATATCACGATCTTTATTTTTTTAAATATTGAACTTTTTTTTTTGACACTTCGAAATTTGTGAAGTTAGCAGCCTAGCAGCCTAGCAGCCTGGCAGCCTAGCAGCCTAAAGAAAACTAAGGATAATACAAACATGAAAACCGTCGGAAATGAATTGGTACGTCTTATTTCAGTATCGCGATCTTTATTTTTTTAAATATTGAACTTTTTTTGTTTTGTTTTTTTTGTTTTGTTTTTTGACACTTCGAAATTTGTGAAGTTACCAGCCTAACAGCCTAACAGCCTAGCAGCCTGGCAGCCTAGCAGCCTAGCAGCCTGGCAGCCTAGCAGCCTTAAGAAAACTAAGGCTAATACAAACATGAAAACTGTCGGAAATGAATCGGAAGCACACATTTAGTTTATTCCACGTCTTATTTTAGTATCGCGATCTTTATTTTTTTAAATATTGAACTGTGTTTTTTTTTTTTTTTTTTTTTTTTGACACTTCGAAATTTGTTAGCAGCCTAACAGCCTAGCAGCCTAGCAGCCTGGCAGCCTAACAGCCTAGCAGCCTGGTAGCCTGGCAGCCTAGCAGCCTAAAGAAAACTTAAGGATAATATACAATCATGAAAACCGTCGTAAATGAATTGTTTACGTCTTATTTCAGTATCGCGATCTTTATTTTTTTTAAGATTGAACTTTTTTTTTTTTTTTTTTTTTTTTTTTTTTTTTGACATTTCGAAATTTGTGAAGTTACCAGCCTAACAGCCTAGCAGCCTGGAAGCCTAGCAGCCTAGCAGCCTGGCAGCCTAGCAGCCTTAAGAAAACTAAGGCTAATACAAACATGAAAACTGTCGGAAATGAATCGGAAGCACACATTTAGTTTATTCCACGTCTTATTTCAGTATCGCGATCTTTATTTTTTTAAATATTGAACTGTGTTTTTTTTTGTTTTTTTTTTGGACACTTCGAAATTTGTTAGCAGCCTAACTTCAGGCTGCCAGGCTGCTAGGCTGCTAGTTCAGTATTTGAAAAATAAAGATCGCGATACTGAAATAAGACGTGGAATGGTCTAAGTATGTGCTACCAATTCATATCCGACGGTTTTCATGTTTGTATTATCCTTAGTTTTCTTTAGGCTGCCAGGCTGCCAGGCTGCTAGGCTGCTAACTTCACAAATTTCGAAGTGTCAAAAAAAAGTTCAATATTTAAAAAAATAAAGATCGTGATATTAAAAAAAGACTTGGAATGGTCTAAGTATGTGCTACCGATTTATTTCCGACGGTTTTCTTGTTTGTATTATCCTTAGTTTTCTTTAGGCTGCTAGGCTGCCAGGCTGCTAGGCTGCTAACTTCACAAATTTCGAAGTGTCAAAAAAAAAAAAAAAAAAAAAAAAAAAAAAAAGAACAAAAAAAAAAGTTCAATATTTAAATTTAACTAATTTAAATTATTTAAAAAAAAATGAAGTATGCGATACTGAAATAAGACGTGGAATGGTCTAAGTATTTGCTACCGATTCATTTCCGACGGTTTTTATGTTTGTACTATC